GTCCATTGTGAGCATGCGCAAAATCATCTATAGTTATTGCCAGATCTAACACTATAATTATTTATTCATTTTATCATTTTTCTATTTTTTTATGACCAAAGTAATTCTTATCTTAAAATTTTATATTATTTAGAAGTAGCATTGTCAGTCAAAAGTTACTTTTCAATCAATTTGTTACTTTTTGCTTTATCTGGCAACAACTATCATCATCGACTACGATTAGCGCGTGCGCAGTTGGTCAATTTTCCGTATCGCTACCGTAAAAGTTTGATCGATCCAAACTTTTCTTACGGAATACGGTACGGCCATACGGATACGATACGGACTTTATAACCATGCTATACGGATTCGCTTACGGCTACGGATACGGTACGGTTACGGTTACGTTACGGAGTTTATAACTCGACCCTTAAAGTGATACATATTAATATAAATTAAACAATGTTTTCTTTGTCATCACTAAAGCACTATTAACCGAGAGCGTTTTATTTTTGGCAAGTTATCCTTATCCTCTGAGCATTTTTCTGCATTATTTTCAGATTCATGCTTTACCTTTTGCAAAAAGTGTATGTAATTTTAGATTGCTTGCTTCTAGTTAAAAGATCTTTATAAATTTCCTTATATGATGCTAAGCACTTATGGAATAAGAGAAAAACATCTGGCAACACCCGAAGCGTCGAGATCTGGCAAAATTGAAACGATTTTCGCGAAGGACCGTGTGTATGGAGACGAAAAAAGAAAATTTAGACACTGAAGTACTAATAGTTCACGAAAATAACAATTTTCGTGAACTATCAGTACTTAAGTATGTAAAAATTTATTACATTTCATGTTGTACGAGGGTTTTACCCAATTCTCGAACCGTGTCAGAGTGAATCCGTGCTATAAAAGTACCGTGTTATACGGGGGATGGTACCAATTGTGGAACCGTGTTAGAGTGAATCCATGCTATAGAAGTGCCGTGTTATACGGGGGTTACCTGTATACAATAGCTATCTTATCGTTTTTTTTCACACGTAGTATAGAAATTTGTAATAAGATACATAATGCGGTTATAATAAAATATTAATTTTAATTATATGACAATAATCGCACAATATGTATTTATTTTTTAAAAAATACAAGGGAAGTGGCGCTTCCACCACTTCCAATGATGGCACGCCACTGGTTGGCATATACACCACAGGAAATTGTAAAACAACAAAAATAAAAATAAAACTTTTGTATCACTTACCCTATAGTAGGTCCTGCACAAAGCTTCCTGCCAGAACTTCGTTCCTCAGCTGACAGTGGTGAAGACAAATGATTCTAAAGAATTCGTGACCGTCCCTTTTAGAACCAGAATGGCGATGTTGTTCTTGAACATTCTTCGCATTAAATCGGTGTGACTCCTAACCACTCTTATTCGAAATTCGACCGGGTTGGCTCTGTCCGAGTCGTCGTTCAACATGTGTTTACCCAACCGAACGGTCAGACTGGATGCGTTCCCTCTATAAGGACGGTGTTGTGACGTCAGTCAGTTAAAAATTATATAAAAGCATTATTTATAAATGCCCAATACTCACAATTTACCTAGTCTTTCCGTTACGCAGTGAGCGGCGGCGCTGTAGCGTCGATCAGACACTAGAGCATCGCCGCGGTAGAATCCGCGGGTTCGGCTATATTTGGTGTTATAAATGGCCGACTGAGAGAAGGAGAAAAGAATCAGCATTGTGGAAAGGATGTCCACGACTGACCCTCATCAAGGAATCCTTAGTATCTTTAATAGCTGTACAATGAGCTGCCTGGGATTCACCAACAAGTCCAACTGTTCAGAGACCCGCACGACTTCCTCTCTAGTGGCCAGGGCACCCAAGATGGGTTCAGTATTTCACTTTCAGCCAGGTCAATAATCTTCTGAACCTGGGTAATAATGAATGGTGTTCACGACAGTACGTTTGGAGTTGTGGTAACTACTCAAATAGCCCTTAAGTTCTTCAAAGAGCTTATTCGCCTCAGAACGAAATTTCAACACAGGTTCCATAGCTACAATGGAGAAAATAACCAATAATCATGGGCTGGCCTATAAAACCCGTAAAAAAGACACTAAACTAGTGCACGTTTAAGCCGAAACAAACAAGTAGACGTGAAGTCAGAGGGAAACAAGTGCCAAGTGATGTAAACTACTCGCAAATGGTTGTGGTTCTTCCATAATCTTAAATCAGCACGAAGTCCTTGAAATTGCCGCTCGCGGCAAATGTTGGTCCGGTTACCACGGCAACCGGACTGTTGTTATGGCAACGGCTGCTAGACTGTTCAACTTTATAAGTGATAAAATTCTTTAAAAGTTTATATCGCTTTAGATAAAAAACTGTTAACACTATATTACTGAAATCTTGGCACAGCTATGCTGAATAACTCTTCTTAATGATGAATATTAAAATTTTGGTTAGCACCAAAAAATAGGCCCGATACGGCCCTCCACAGCCCGCGTTGGGTAGGCCTAAAAATCACAAAATATTGGTCTCAGGAATAAAAAAAAAATTCACACAGTACTCACTGTCTGTTCTAGCAAGAGATGTCCCCTTCACTTCCGGTGGAGCGGCCACCGAATTCCGGATGACCGGTCCCCAATAATCCGCGAATTCAAACGTTTACAGCTCTCGAAATATTTGAGCCACACTCAAAACGATGACATTACTTTCATCCTTACACTGACAAATCCAACGATATATAATTTATCCACTTTGACACAAGAAATCCACTGTAAAACACACGAAAATCCAGAGCGCCCGCACAACGCGGAGAACCATAATTAGGGCAATTAATGATAATCGACAATTGATGTCGTGAGAATTACAGTAAAATCTGAATGTTACACCGAGTATAGTTTCAGCGCTTTTGAAGGACGATACCGCCGTGAAATATATACCAACAAAATTTGGTACACAACTTCTATTACGAGATCAGACCGAGCCTGACATTCTTCTGTTCTGTTAGAGTTTTAGGGTAAACCTCACATCAGTCCTTACACAGCATTGGTTTGGCTGCCTGCAACTCATGGACATTTTGAAAGGAAAAATTTCTATCCAAAGGAATGAGATTAAAGAGAATACGAAAAGGCAGACAATGTCGACCCCGAAAAGCAACTTTTAGGATTGATTTTAGTAGTAGAAAGAATTCTGGATTAAATGTGAATGGACCTAGCAAATATCAAGAGGTGTTAAAAGTGTAATGTAAACGTTCTCAAAATGCATTGTCTTTATTTGATGTTGGCCACAGCTTTTCCTTACAGTTAAATAAAATCTCCAAGGAACTGAAAGGTCTACATTATGCAATATTTTATAATAATTTCAGACTTTCCATCTCACAAAGATTATATTTTTATTGTATTTCTCGTAACATTACTAACAATCGACATTTACTACTCGTGGATACTCTGGTCAGTCTAAGGAAAGAATCTATATAGGATTTAATTAATGAGCATCATCCATTAATCGTTTAGTTGTGGCGCGTTACTTCCGGTTTCTGAGTCATTTATTAAACGTGTCATGGCCATTATAAACAGTGTTATAGAAGCTTCTCGTTCTGTTATTCGAATAGGAGGAAGTTGGCTATAGTAGTTGTTACACGCACGATTCTTTAAGTTAATAGGGGAAGGTGGTGCAAGATGGGGTCACAGGGTAAGATGGGGAAGTTTATTCGTGGTTAACGCGCTTTCATTTAGCCGTTATTTGGAGAACTAAATGTCAACCTCAAAAGGAATCACGGACGAGAGAACGTCCGAATCGCTCTCTTTGTTTGGAAGTAAGACAGTTTTCCACGTTTCGGCAATAGTTCGTCTAATTTTACGCCCGCTACAAAGTTTCTACGAAGTAAGCACGATTGCGAACTTTTACATTACTTTTTAGATGAAGATATTATGGTATTCGAAGTAATCTTTGACCCGTGTTTGCAGTCAGTACGAAAAGTACGCGTTGGGGCAAGACGGGGTACCCCATCTTTCCCAAGGTTGGCCACGAATTCTGCCGCTGGCTAGAGGCATCGCAATATAGTGCAGCGAACTAGTTTTCAATTCGTTGTCGTCGATAATTCTATATCATTTTTTCGAATATATAAAATAATAAAATTTAAAAATGATCTTTTTATTATAGAAAGTGAAATATTCCACTTTTAAATCATATCTAACTGTAATAAATTTATATAGTATTACTTTATTATTTATGTTTTAACGTTTTATTTTATTTGCGAAAACATTTTTTTAATTTAAATACTATCTTAACGAGAAATAAAATGTGAAATAAAAATCGAAATAAAAATATTTTCCACGAAAAAAAATATCGTCTGCTTACAAAATAACGAAACTGAGCATGCGCGAAGTGACAGCATCGTCTGGCAAAGTAAATACGAGTAAGTTCAAACTTTTATATTTATTTATTCGGAAAATAATAATAAATGTAGCCACTGCGATAAATAGGCACACTGCTCTTGCTCCAATATTGAAGAAAACGACAGTTTAACCATTTTAATTTGTCCTTCTTCTATATAAAAATAGTAAGAACACGTTAAGTCTTATCAAACATTTTCTATTGTAATTGCAATCGTTAACGTATCGAAATACGTTACGTAATGCATGGAATGTGTATTTGCGTAACATATATAGTACGTTCCCTCTTGCTTACATCTATCGTATGCATATAACAGTTGTTTACAGTTCTGCATACGTTATGTCTACAAGCGTAACTCAATATATAAGTACTGTATCGATAATTTAAACAAAATTTAAATTGTTTTAAAATTAAGTGTTTATATTTTTGTATATTCAATTAGCTGTTATTGCTTTTCAGTGGAATTAAATAGAATTACCATTCCATTTTGTGGAATTCCCCATTTCAATTCTTTTTTGGCATGTTTTTTTAATTGTCTCGGTTCCAAAAGAGTAGAGAAGACTGAGAAAAGACTTTCAATNGAAGTCCTGCTTCTATGTAGGGTCCGCTTTCTTGCATGCCCTTCTCCATTTGGTACGGTCCAATGCGTCTTCCGGTGTGACGTTTACAAATTAAACTATTTTAAAGTATTTATAGAATGTTTAATTGGTAGAAATGTAGATCCGTATGACGCGATTGGGACGTTAACAGAGCTGTAGAATATATTGATAAGAACAAAAGAGTCAAGGGAACCATGCCTCATGGGAATTTGTAAAGAACGCCCACTAGGGGGCGTCCGGGCTACTAGTATACACTAACTCAGGGGTCGGCCACCTTTTGAGTCGGAAGAGCCAAAATTACAATTTACAAAATTTCAAAGTTTATAAAGAGCCACAAAATTTTTTCTTGCCGACAATAAATAGTACTCGGATAAATAAAGTCTTTTGATAAAAAACTAATCTATTTATTCATATATAAGTAGTGTTTTTCACAACAAATTAGATAATAGAAACATCCGACGACGTCATTCGAGAGCTTCCGACGGACTGACGACAGTGACGACACGTGTCACGGGGGAGGGGTGCGGTGAAAAGCGAGTACAAGTGGCTGAGAGATAGAATAAGTGCCTAATCCTCGTTAATTGATTCAGAACGATTCTTAAATGGTTTTTTTTTTTGATAAAATAAATAATATTTGCGTATGGAACTAAAGAGCCGCATGTGGCTCGCGAGCCGCAGGTTGCCGACCCCTGCACTAACTGCTTACCACAAATTTCACAAATATTACCAATATTCAAAAATACTGAATCTGTCCGCATGACTTCCGGGATTTCTTGTAGGTGATGTCGACACGTATACATTCCGTTTAAAATTACTTATTTACAGTTAAAATACCATTATAGTTTAAAATATATTTTCGATTAAAAATACTATTACAGTTAAGGTTTCTCGACTTAACATTGAACATCCTTCAGAATACACAAATGTAAATTATAATTTTTTTAAAATATATTTTTAAAGAATATTTTTACAATAATAAAAATTTAAAAAAAATATAAGACAAAAAGGAATTTTTTCAAATTCTTATTTTAAACATGAAATTATATTATATGAAATATGTTTACTACTAAAAAAAAATGTTTTATAATAAATTATGAGATGAAAATATTACAGAAGATAATTACAGCTTTTGACGTCTTGAATAAGGGAAGGAGAATGGTTATGAAGGGTTTTGAATCCAAAAGTTAATTTTAATTTAAATGTACTCGCGATTCACATAAAGCCGGATGAACACATGCGGGGAGCGGCAAGGAAAAGCGGTGTCGCAAACGCGTCTTTGTCGCGCGGCAAACGCCAATCTCTCTACATTTCGGCGCATGCGCAAAATATTCAAGATGGCGGGTGATTCCAATTCTGCTGCTCTCCTCATGCTTACCAATTTCGTTTTGTACACATCACTTTATGTGTGTAGAAGACGTCGACAAAGAAGATTTGACCGGAGATTTTCTTAGATCGAGAGAGAACTGGTGTTCAAAATACACTTATTCGTCGTCTAAGAATACTACTTCGAGTAAGATTAGTTTGTTTTGACTTTTGACTTAAATTATATATGATTGCTTGTGTTAAATTTATTATTTTGTTATAGTTTCCTTATACCCCGTTCGCACCGAGCATTTCGATCTAGATTGTGACAGGTCGGAGAGAGTTCCTTGGTGCGAACGCTCTCGACCGTTTCAATCTCGACTGAAACGAGGTTCTATCGCGATCGACTGGAGAGAGTTCTTGAAACTAGATCCAGTCATAAGAGAGATCCCACAATCCCACGCGCGCGAGAAAATACAAGATGGCTGCTGAACAAGTGTCCGGCTATCGACAGAAAAATAAAAAAGACATCTGGAGAGACGATGACATCTGTCTATTATTAGATATACGGCAAGAAAAAGTATTTATTTCTAACCAAAACTTCCATTTTGTTTGTTGGTGTTCGTGACTTACCGCGTAGTTATGTCAATTTTATCATCGCGTGTAATAGCCGGGTTCTTCTCAAGCGAGTTACCTGTGCGAACAGCACGACGTTCCACTGGCGACAGTCACAATCCAGATTGTGGG